AGCTCCTCGAGGGAAGGGAGGAAATCAGCAATAACATTCAGACAGGGGCACTAAAAGTAGTTCCTTAAAAGGGACCATCCCTCCCTGCTCCAACCCCTCCCAGCTGGTAGTGCTGAAGAGACAGGCTGAAGAAGGTGTCTCCCAAGCTCCCAGTGGAAGCTCTCCCATCACAAGGGGCTATTAAGAGTGGAGTGGCGCAGGAGGTGCGCTGCAGGGGGCTCATGCCTCCTGAGATGAAGGAAGCCGTGTTAGCTCAGTGGGACAGGGCGTTACCGAGCATGTATCTGAGTTGTGCTGCAACTGGGGGTGTCAAAAATCAGATGAGGTTCATGATGCCTGACAGACAGGTGCTGAAGATGTGCAAATCCCAGTGCCACGTGGCAACACTCAGCCCGATTCTCCTCTCGGCAGCACTGGTGTAAATCGGCGGGGATGGCACTGAAGTTGGTGGCGTTATGCCAGGATAACCTGGTGCGAGTGAGAGGGGAATCAGGCCCCCTGACTGGCTTGGTGAAAGCCCCTGGAAAATAAGTTGGAAAACTCCATTCCTACCTAGTGATTGGCGTTTTCAAAGCACTTTGCAAACATTAACAAGCACCATGGAGATGGGTGCTTTATAAATACCTATAATTGCCAGGCTAAGAAAAGAAGGAAGGTGTAGGCTGAAGGCAGATCTCCAGCATGCTTCAAAAGCTGACAGCTAAAACTGGGGCAAACTTCCCTGGGTAGTTCTAGGCATGGTGCTGGAGCTGGCAACGGGTGAATCTCTAAAGGCTCAAATCCACTCCCCAGAGTTCAGGGGCTGACCCCTGCTGCAGTCAGAACTCCAGTCCTTTGGGGCTTGCAAACTAGACCAGTGGGTGCTCAGCACCTCTGCAAATCGGCTCATTGTTTTTCATTAGGTAACTGTGGATTTAGGAGCTTAACGATAGGTCCTTGGGTGGGAAAATGCTGGCCTCCATTGATAATGCTTGGGATGAAAGGTCCAATGCTCTGGTATTAGTTCATAGAGTCAGGAAGTGAGGAGCACGGGGGTGGGGGTGGGGGGAGTTATAGCTTCCCCTCCCCGACCTGCTGTAATGGTGCTTCCAGCCATTAGCAGAGAGCAGCGGGAGATGCTAGAGGAGGCAGGAGATCCATTTGCGCCTGGCGCAGGGAGGCCGAGGTGAACCTGAACTTTTAAAGGAGACTGGAGCATTGCAAACTACAAGTGAAACAATCAAAACCGTTGGGCCCCAAGCTCCGAGAGGTGAAAAAGCAACCTCAGAACAGGCTGCTCTGAAGCTAACTGCAAGCCTTGGCAAATGACACCTGGACTAAGTGAAAAGCTAAGCGGGCCGGGCGTTAAGCAGAGTCCACGTTCCAGTCTCTTCTGAGACGCTTCAATCGCAGGCCTCCTCTGATCCAACCTTGAAGGTGACCCATATTTATTGGGCCCCATTGGCTCCGCCTGAGGGTCTGTGCTTCCTGGCCACAAGCTGGCACTGTGGGAATATGCAGCGTGGGGAGCTGCTCAGTGGGGCCACGAGGGGAAAGCCACCAGCTTTGCTTTTGAACGAAATGCAACTGCTGTTTCTCTGTCGCAGCGCCCGAGCACGTGGTGGAAGGGCACAGCCTCTGCGGGCCACCCCTGCGTTTTCTGGCTGGGCAAATTAATTCATTGGGGGCCTGATCCAAAGCCCATTGGAGCCCACTGATTTCAGCAGGCTCCGGATCCCCTAGCAAAGGCCCTGGAGCTCAGTTCAGCAGCACGCTTGGGCAAGTGCTTAATTTTTAAGCTTGTGCTCAAGTCCCGTTGACATTAAGTTAAGCCACGTGCTTGAAGGCTTTGGTGAGTGGCAGCCAGGGAGCTCAAGGGGGACCTTCCATTCTCGCACCACGATCACATCCCTTTTCAGAGGGGGAGGGAGAGGGGCTGGGAAGAGGGAAGAGCCGCTCCTCTGAGCGTGAATCCCTTACAGGGGGCTGACTGCGCATGCACTGAGCCCCTCTCTGCTGCTACAAATCACTTTTATCTGTTCTGTTCACGCCCTCTGGGGCACCTGGCCCTGGCCACTGTCAGAAGACAGGACACTGGGCTAGATGGACCGTTGGGCTGACCCAGTATGGCCGTTCTGATGTTCTTACAAAGCGAGCCTGGCTGGCAGTGGGGAAGTGCTGACCTGATGCAGGCAAAGTCTGATTGCACTTTTCAATGTGGGTTGTGTTGAAAGAAGTGACAAGGTTCATTTCCTTGGAAAATCCATTTTTCATTCAAGCCTCCCCCCTTTTCAATGATAACCATTCAAGCAGCTCTGGGGACAGGATGGCATCCCGTAGAACTGGGGGGGCAAACACTGCAAAACAAAGCACTCAGGAGGGCACTGGGCTATTCAAGCAAACCTCGATTTACTAGGATAACCATGCTTCTGTAACAGAGAACGCAACCGCCACGAGGAACCTTCGCTGTCTCACCCAGAGACCTTTCGAACACTGCAGAATGACAGACCCCAATCAATGAGATTACACCAGTGACAAACGAACTGCAACGTGAACAACGGGCCGGAAGCAGAAACGCTGCATCCCCTCTCCCGCCCTCCCCCTCCCGCCCACCCCCGACATGAAAATCAAAGCTCACTGAACGAGGCGATGTTGCTATATATCGGGAAAGTGAGCGCAAGGCAACAGGTCTTCAATGAGCGGGACAATGTCACAGGCACCACAGTCACTTTGTATGCTAGAGCGTGAGGTCACGTCCATAGGCACTTGAGGATCCAGAGGACAATCGCCAGCCATGTCACTCGAACCACAGCAGACTGCATAAAGCCACCCGGTTAATTTGACAGCTAAATTACACCATACACTTCACCAGCAGCGATACAGCTATAGAGCACAGGTGTGGGGTCAATGCATCCCTGGCAACAGGGACTGAATCCGAGATCAGATGACAACAGGGTGGTTGGAGAACTGCCACCTTGTCTTGCAATATGTGAGGCAGTATTTGCTAGTGTTTAGAGCAGGGGGGCTGGGAATCAGGACTCCCAGGTTCTATTCCTGGCTCTGCCACAGGCTTTTCAGGTGACCGTAGGCAAGTCACTTAACCTCTGTACCTCAGTTTCTCCACCTGTAAAATGGAGATCATCATCCTTACCCCTCCTACGGGGGACTGTGAGGCTGAGATAGTGTTTGTAAAAGGCTCTGGTGCCCTTGGCATTGCCTAAATGTGAAGTATTTCAGCATGGTCATGGGTTTTTACACTGGATAAAAGGATTTGCAACATGGGAAGTACAAATCAGCCAGCCAGCTGTACGCCAGGGGTCAGGTAAAAGATTCAGGGAAAGCACTAATCAGCCCGCTAACCCCCTGTCATCCAGAGAGAGTCCATCCAGGAGGATGGTTCACTGCTGAACAGATGTCAGGGTAGAGGGAGCTGGCTTATCTACAGAGCTGGGCCTTGGTGCTGCAGGGGAGACATGACGTATACTGCTCTAAGGTTCTGAGCCAGGGAGCCGCCCAGACACTAAGGATGAGAGTCATGCCTTTAATACTTTACCTTGTTATTAACGGCCAAATAGAGAGCGGTATCCTGGCGATTGTGAAATGAGGTCGCCCTCTGGTGGCCAGCCCAGGCAACCTACATCAAAACCTGGAGGCTATGCTATGGGACTTCATGGCAGCAGTCGGTGAGGGATGAAGTGGTGCAGGGTTTAAACATTCGCCTGAGCGTCCAGGAGACACGCTATCCTTAACATACCCAACATGTACAATCAACAGCTAGGGCCTCGGCATATCCTGTCCATGCTAAAGCTGCTGCGTTGGTACCTTGGTATGAAGGTTTGATACCAAAATTAGACCTTAGACGGCCGAATTGTGAGCCTTTTGCCTTAAGGAGCCTGTAAAGGGGGAACATTCAAATGTTTGCAGGTCGTTTCAAGTCACCAGAACTGAGGTTTAAAGCTGTAGGAAGTTGCACAAGGGCAGGGGTTCAAATCTCCACCGATTCAGTACCTTTTTTCGGAGAATTGCTTGGAACCAGCTTGGTTAACTGTCAATCAGTGAAGCTGAGGTCTGGGTCGAGTCCATCTGACGCGGCCCAATGGTAAAGCTGATTCAAGGCGTTGCTAACATCTTTGCGGTGACAGCCCAGAAGTGGGTGTGTGTGGTGAGTGGGGGGGGGGGGAGGGTTGGAAAAAAGGCAGAGAGAGAGGTAGGTTTTGCGGGTAGGTTTTTTTTTAAAAAACCCAACTAATTACCCCCAAATAATATCTTATCTGAGCACTGAATTCAAGGTCGCCTTCCCTTGGGGTTAATGACATCTGAATGACGGCACAGGCATTGAAAACTGCTGAGCTGGCACTTCAAGACGGCCAGCATCTCTGAGAACCGAGCAGAGCAGTGGGAGTGCCTGCTGTTATCCTCTCAGGGCTGCCAATAAACGGCAAGTTATGTGGGGCCAAAAGTCGCAGGCATGATGCATTGGTTCCCCGAACTGCTGCGGGGCAAAGCCGAGACACACTAACCACGCTTGTCAAGGCTGTTCCTATGTTACCATACTCTGTTGCTGTTACATAACATGCTACAGAAGGTGCATGCTTCACTGTTTTGTTCTGAACAGGCCACAATTCTTCCTATGCTGTAGCAAATACACCCTATGTAATAGGAGACATCAGCCTCGTTACTAGCTGCCGTTGGCAAGGCTTGCATGCTCTTTGGAGATTCTGAATGCTAGGTCCCAGGCCATATTTTTGCATCAAGAGGAATCTGGTGATTGGTGAGGTTACGCCTCCAAGGTCTGTATGCTCTGTGGAGTTCTTGAGCTGTGTAAAATGAGCAATTCGCATGCAACTCGCGTATTAAGTACCTGCGAAGTCTCTAACTGCAAAACTGTTTTAAATGATCATGAAAAGCCCATAACCTGGAAGCATCCAAAGTGACCTGAGTGCATAGAAAAAAGCTTCTATCAGCCACTGCAGCATTGTGGACCGAGTGGTCATGAGACCACCCCATGACCTGTGCATCAGGTCTATGCGTCTCCTAAGTGCACACCTCAGGCCTTTGCATTTCACATGTATACAACCTGTGTGGCTGTACCCCTCTGGGCCTCTAGTCTGGGCCTCACTTACCCACTAGCTTCACTAGGTCTGCTGAGAGAGCCAGATTCTCCCGTGTGGGACAAAGGAGACACCGTGGGATGTTTTGCATTGATTTATGCTGCTGGTATTTACAAAGCGGAGCCTTGGGGCTGGCCAAGAGGAATAGGGGCATGAGGTGAGAGGACAGGACGGTGTAAAATCACTTCACAAACAGGTCAGGTCACGCCACCTACCAAAAGACACTCGCATCACGTGGCCTGGAGCCAGGCCCTTGCCAGATGGTTAAGCAACAGGCTAACAGCTACACATACAGCTACGCTGCAGTTCCCTGTCTTCCATGATGTGGTACTTGAGACAAGAGGAGCAGCTGACCTGCCTGGAAGGGAATGTGACACTCCCATTTGATGAAGAAGTAACATCACCCAATGACACAGGGGTGGCTGCTGGAACGCTCGGGCTGGTGGTGCCCCTCTGATCACACGTAGGATTCCAGCAGGTTCAGAGTCTTGTTTGAAACATAACCAGGAAAGACCCTGGAGAGGTTTGGAACGCACTCCCACCGCCTGAGTGGACAAGACATCACTGTCCTGGATTGACAGCAACAGGGATGGGGAGTTTCCTGTAATCTGCTCTAGTGACAAAAGCAGTTCTGACCCCCTGCAAGCTGTCCTCACAAGAGCTGGTCAGAAACCGGCAGCTTTCTTGCAACAAATGCCCACTGAGTATGTCTGGGTTGAAAAGTGTCCATTTTCCATGGGAAATTTCCAAATGAAAGGTTTGGTTTCAAAAGGAAGTGGGGGGAAAGCCCCACTTTCTGCTTTCTAATTACTTCCAGCTGCAAAACAAACCCCCCAAAATTGTGAAAAGTGGGTTCTCCCTCATTTTCTCACATTCTTTTTACCTCTCCTGCCTTCTTCCAATGGGAAAAAAGGGGCAGGGGTAAAAATGGGAGAGAAGGGGGGCGGGGGGCAGAAGAACCAAAAACTGAAAAGGGAAATTGGTCAGTTTCCTGGGACCAAAAAAAAACAACAACAAAATTTGAAGCCAAAATGAAATAAATTATTTTTAGAATTTTCCTGTCAGGAAAAAAAACAAATCACCCAAATTCATTGAAATCAACATTTTCCCTCCAAAATGTCAACTTCAATTAAACCAGGTTTTCCAACGGAAAATGTTTGGGTTGACAAATTTTGACCAGCTCCATTCCTCACCCATCAACCTCAAATCTTTAGCTTTCTTTCACCCAAGACATCCAACTCTCTGTAGCCAGGGAGCCGCTAATGACTATGGGCCAGATATAGAGAAGCAGGTGCTTATGTTCTGTTGACTTCAGTGGGACCTAAACACATGCTTAAGGGTTGTCTTGAATAGGGATGTTTTCCTGAACGGCAGCCTAAAATTTGAATGCAGGAGACGCCCTGATGTTAGGGCATCACCCACTTCCCTGCGTGGTAATTAGGATGCACTCACCATCTGTCCCCACCGATGAGACAGCCACAGTTGTTTGCACATTGATTAGGACAAGCAAGTTGCGCTGATTGGTTTGTCATGGAAGGGTCACATTCTGCCCTTGGATACGTGTGTCCAAACGCCCATTGATTTCAGTGAGTCCTATCGCTGGGCCCACGGGCAGAATCCGGTCTTTAATTTTCAATCTATTCTGAACTAAGGAGGTTGTAATGTATTTCATTTAATTAATATGCTTCTGACAATTGTCAGCCAAAGTGGGTTACTGGCATTAGCAGGAGTTAATGGGACCGGTTCTGGTGACGCTGCTGAGAGCTGGAGTCTCTGGCTTAAAGTTGCCTTCCGCTATGAATAACTGATTCAGAACGGTTCTTGCTGAGTAATTACAGTCAAAAAGGGTCTGCCAATACAATTTGCTATCAGCTGTCACTTTGTATTAAGAAGCATGGAGCCAGGTAGCCACAGATGCTGCCTGTCATATGCCGTGCTGGCAGTCAAGTCAAAACACAGCACTGCGAGAATGGAAACAAATTCAGCAGCGAGGCTAGAGGAAGGATGATGGAATCCAAGCTGTTCAAAAGACACCGTCAAGAGACGAATGCTGGGCAGCGCTTAGTTTTGCCCACACACTCGAGAGGGGCATTACGAGAGGGGAGATATGATGCAACAAGTCTGCAGTAGGCACGAGAAAGTGGCACTCTGTCTGCATGGGAACGGGGGGAAAAGGTGGCCAGTCCAATGGCAAAAGAGCGCCACCAAACCCCTGACCCACAAGCATGGCTAGCAGAAGCTTTCAAGGGGGCAGCAGACTGTTTTGCATGAGCTGTCAGAAAATCTAAGTGTAAGAACACACGCTTCAAAGCCACTGGGCAAAGTGGCACAGGCTTGAACACATGGATACAATGCAGGCCTAGACCTTCTGGTTCAGATCAAATGTAATATCAGTCTAATCGCTGATACAGCCTCTCCCAGGAGGCTGTCCTTCTAGCGGGAATGTACTCAATGCACTGATGGGGACTGAAAAGCTTTAACTGCTCTAATCCAAGATGCATTCTACTAGCTCCGCTACGCTGGGCCTGAAAGTGCCTGGGGAATAGATTTGCTTTAATCCACCTCCTGCATTCCTCCGGCTGCTTGCTGGCTGTGCAGTCTGGCCCCAGCCTACCCCCACTCTGCATGCAAAAGATTCTAGGGCACATTGTCCGTGCTGAACCAACCTGTAAGACTGTCCTGGAACCAAGGCCAGGCTATCCAAAGAAGCCTAAGGGAGTTATGCACCCAGTTGGGATTACAATAGGATTTGGGTGTTTATATCCTGTAGGCGCCTTTGAAAATCCCAGTCCAACTCCACAGCTATAGAGAATGAGTGATCTGGGAGGACCTGGCAATTCACTCCATTGTTTTCCCCATCCCCAGTGTTGCTTTTCCATCTTAAACTGCTTGGCCGCAGTCTGGATTTCCAGTAACCTTGACCCATGAGGCAGAGTGGCTGCTCGAACACCAATCCCTGAGACAAGAGACACATGTTAATCTTCACAATAACGCAGTCTAGATGGAGACCGGGGAACGATGAATCATGGCTGGAAATGCTCTGGGTGAAAAGATGAACGTGGGATTGATGGTGACTGGGTGAAAAGGGAAGGGCTTGGCTGGATGGCGAAGCGTGAAGGATGAGATGGTTGACTGAAGATTTGGGATTCTCTTTCTGGGACTGGTGCTGGGGATCAGATGAAGCCCAGCCTGAAGGGAAGGAGGTGCCTAGTACCTCGTGTAACTGGAGATGCTATTCCTAGTCACAGAAATGAATAATCCTTTCGTTTAGATATTGGCCTTAATAACCTCCTGCAGCAGTGAGTGCTCCAGGTGAATCATACCCTGCTTATACAATAAGAAGAAGAAGAATTGTTTAGTGCTGGGGTTTGAATGACCTTGGTTGTTTTCTGGCGTGCAGAAAGGCTTGTCCTAATAAAGGTGCATGGCATGGCACGGCAGTGGTGGAGCTCAGCTGTTAGACCATGTTTCTTAAGGACCAGTCCCTGTACCCCAGAGGCTGTCTCAGCTGACTGCCTGACTCCCCCCTTTTGCACTCCCCCTTCCTACACGTTGTTGGGGTTGTAGCACAACAAGTTGAACTCGAGGTTCTCGTCCCAGTGCCTGAGCAAAACAAACAGCTGCCGGGCTGCGGCCTTGACGGTCCCCAGGCTCCGGCCCTCCGGGAACTCCTGCTCACTCAGCCACATGCTGGCCTTGCCGGCCACCAGTTCCCACTCGATGAAGTAGGAGGCGGAGCTGTGCTCCAGCCAGGCCAGGGCGACTGCTGTGGCCCAGAGCATCCCCTCTGGCTCGGCCCATTGATGCAGCTCTATGTCAAAGAGCAGGGACTGCAGCTCGGAGCTGTCCGACTCAGAGCCTCTGCCACTGTCGCTCTGCGGCTCCCGCGGGGACTGGGTGCTCTCAGGGGAGGAGAAGCGGCGGATGGTGATGGCAGGGGGTGAGAGTTCATTCTCAGCTTTCAGGGCCTTTGAGAGGCTTTCCACTGCGCTGCCAGAGAAGTGGCGAGGCCGGCCTGCGTCTCCCGTAGCCTCACCATGGCCGTTCAGCGCTGCACTGGGAGCGAAGTCGCTGTCTGAGGAGCTCTCTCTGGGAACGTCGTTCGGTGCCAGCAGCTGCCGGCTGCATCCAGGGCTCTTGGGCTCCTGAGGCGGGCCTGACTTCTTAGTGTTGTAGGAGCTGGCGGAGGGGCTAAGAGCCATCCGGTGGCAGGTGAACGGAGACGTCCACTTCAGCTTCTCCATGGGAATGCTGATTGCGTGGCAGAACGCCGGGTTGAGCAGAAAGGCACCACAGGCCAACTGCAGAGACACCTGTGGAGAGGGATAACAACACTTCCTTAGGGAGGCGCTGAAGTAAGGCCCTGGGGAAGAGCGCATTCTGTGTGCACAGCCAGGGCTTTGGAGTAACCTACCCACCAAGAATCCACCCCATGGGCGCTTGACAGGAGAGGCACCAGCTGGGCCCTCGTGCCCCCAAGTAGGGGGGGTCCCCTCCACAGTTTTGGGTCCAAAAGGTTGCTGGGAGGAGAGGTGGCCCCAGCTGGGCCATATTTTCCCCCTTTTCCCCCAGTGCAGTGGTCTCTGCTTTGGCCTCTTCTGCCCCGACCAGTTTTGGGAAGTTTTCCAGCCCAACTGGGGGATTTGGGGATGGGAATTGGGTGTCTGCTGATCAGAACTCAAGCTAACACACATGTATGTGTGGTGTGGCTATGTGTGTGCATGGTGATATGCCAGAAGAGCCCCCACCACCTCCCATCATCCCAATGACGTGAGCCTGAGGTCTGGTTTGGTTGCTTACCAGGGGTAGGTAGTCAATGTTTTCATTGCTGCTCTCGGAGCTGGGTTCATTCACTCGACTTGGGGATTTACTCATGAAGCCTTTGGCTGCTCGAGTCAGCAGTCTCGTTTTATGAAGGGTCAATCTGCGTCAGGACAGACATAACAAAGGAGGCATTTACATACCTGCCTCTCAGACCCATTGCCTCCCACTAATCAATCACCTCTCAGCATTCCCAGTAACTGACACACCGCGCCCTACACTAAGTCATGTGGTAGCGCAGCTGTCAGAGAAACATATGCTCGGTCTGGCTGCGAGACATCAATTCAACTGGCTTCCCCTACAAGAGACACAACCCCCTCTCCCCTTTCTCTTCTGCACTAGATGGTCACGCGGCCTTGCCTCTGGTATGGGAAATTCTCCCCACTCTGCACAGATAAGTCTCCTCAAGCTAGCATATGCCCATAGGAAGGCAAATTCCATCCAGGAACATCTCCTGTTAGACTCTCCAAAAGATCAGACTGGGAGGGGACATTCTGAGGACCATCATTTCCGAGTGGCCCAGAAGCTAATGCTTCAGCTTGTCAAAAACATGGGAACCCTGATCCTTTTCTTGTCACTTTCTGGATGAGCCATGTGACTCAGGGACCCCGGCAGGGGTTCCAAGGACCGGAGTCAGGGAGGTAGCCAGAGGAGAGCGTGAGGAGTCTGTAGGTAGGTGGGGAGGAGAGGGGGCATTTTGTCTTGATCCCTCATCTCTTAACGTCATTAGAAAAGGGAAAAATTTAGAAGGATTTTTTGGTCAAAATGCCTAAGTGACTTAGGAGCCTCTGTCCCCTTGGATTTCAATAGGCCTAGACAAGCACAATTTCTCCATACCAGATGACATTGAGATATCCCCACCCTTCCCTGGCTCAGGGACATGGTAGTAGGCTAGAGAATCTTTCACCACTAAGTCTCTGGTTTAAATCCAGCTTAGCTAGACAGCGACTGCAAAATGTTCCCATCTTTTGTCTGGTCACTGGTCAACGTCCCATGAATTTGGGGATCTGTGGGCAGGTGTCCACACCACACTTGGCACTACTCACCCCTCTCAGCAGAGAGACCCAGGCCAACTCCCCTCAGTGGTGGCCCTTCCGAGTCGGAGTTAGGGAGAGCTTGTCTTGCTGCTGCCATGTGATGCCTGTGTCTAGACTAGCACCTACACAGACCAAATCCTCCTCGCAGTTACACCACTGATTTCAACAGGCTGCATCAGTGGCCCAGTACTTCCCTTCCTTTTACAAGCACCAAATTTGCACAATACATTTAAAATGAAGAATAAAAAAAGAGCCAGTTTGGTTGGCTGTTTGCTAATCGTCAGGCTCACCTTGTTGGCTGATTGTCACTAAGCCTGGCTCACAAGCTGTCTGCCTGGCCCAGTAAACCAGCCAACAAGTGTCACAGTATCAAAGCAAGAGTGAGCTGCAGAGCATTTTGGTCAGTGAAATTCCCTTTACCAAACCCCCTTTCTACAGTGTAACCAGCTGCCCATCTGCCTGATGTGGACACCCCCCGAACAGCCTACAGGCTTTCCCTCATGTGGGCCCCTTTTGTCAAACCCACAGCGAGGAGAAAACACAGAGCAGTGGAATACTCCATCCTGGGGTCTCATTGAGTCAGAGAATGCTCTGCTGCCCCTTACCTGGCAGAAAAAAGGGTATCAATGGACTTCTGGGAGTGAGCAGAGGAAGCAGACGGACTCTGCAGCGGAGCTGGGGAGAAATACAAAGTCAAGGTGAGGAAACATCTGGCATTAAGGAAATGTTAATCAGGGCATGCTGGCTGGAGGCTGGGCTTC